CCTCTAATTTTCCAATTTAAACTCTCTCTGAAGGACCTCGAAGGAGTGAACACAAGATAAAAGTCTCCCCGCGAGACTCAGAATAATATTAGGATTTCGTGCCGATGCGAAAGGCACTGATGACAGCAGCCTGCCCCGATACCGTTAGGATAATATCATTTCTGTAGAAGCTAAGGTTTCGCCCCGCGCGCCCCGCTCCGCGCCCGCATTCCACGAGATTTATGCCGCGTCTCGAACCACAACAATCGCGACAAACACGCCAGTTCGGACGTAACGGGTTGAATCAATATTGCGGACGGAAGTGCTCAAAATTCTCAGATTGCAGTGAAATATAGCAATTAAGGATTTTCTCTCGGGATCTTTGATTTCTGTTGAAATGTAAATTTAAGGGGTCGCCGATTTCGAATCCGATCTTAAAATTTGAAAATTCAAAATGGCTGAACTAATATGGCGACTTGAAATTTTACGAAAATATTAAAAATCTTTCAATTGCAGCAAAATTAAGCATTATAGGTTATATAATAGGTTTTAGGGGTCATTAAGGTCGAATCCGTACTTAGAATTTGAAAATTTAAAATGGCTGAACCAATATGGCAGACGAAAATGCTAAAAGTCTTCCGATTTCAGCGAAATGAAGCATTAGAAGGTTTTCGGGGTCGCTGATTAGATTTAAAAATAAAAAGGAAAAATAAATATTTTATATCTGCATTCAAAACTTGAATGAGTATGTAAAATAACAGTTAAACACATTCTGTAATACATTTTATATACTTTGTTTAAACTCCGTCAAATCCATCAGGAGCGACGAATGTGTCTGACAAAACTTTAGTAAGTATCTGATGATAATAATAGTGTGGAAAGGGTTCCTTGATTTCTGATTCCATATAATTGGACGAACCCGGAAAGATTCATAACCAATTACAATTTGTAGGAACCCAAATTTAAAACCAGCATTTTTTAGCAAGAACAAATTGAATAAATTTATTAAAGTACAAAAGGACGTTCTCCCAAAGAATTCAAATAAAAATGTTGTATACAAAATTGAATGTAAAAAATGTGACGCAACTTACGTAGGTCAAATATGTAGAAAATTGTATACAAGGATTGCCGAACATCGTAATCACATAAATTGGAATACAAATAGTCAATCCGTAATTACGGATTATAGATTGGAATATAATCACGAATTTGATTGGAAGAACGTTAAAATACTGGGTTCAGAAAAAACATTAAGGGGTTATGCCTACCTGCATGATCGGAAAAACACGTATTCTTGGGAATTTTTTTTTGAAAAAATTTGAAGTGCTTTTGAAATGAACGTTTATGTTTTCAAATATATGTATTTCGAGGATAATTCAGTTTTTTTTTATTGCAAAATATCGATAAATAAGGAAGATGAGTAATCTCCAAGAAGCAGTTTTTCTAGAAGCGTTTTGCGGTGACCACTCTAGTTTTGAGCTGGTATATCTTAAATAAAAAAATACGACAAATTTAGTTAATATATAAGATTATCTAGTGTCCGATCGTTCATTTTTTTGGAAATTTAATTTGTGACAAAATGGCGGCTGTTCAAATTCGAAGGTACGATTTATCTACCAAAGTACGCTCGTTTTCTTATCAGTAAAAAAAAATACGCAACGAAAAAAAAAGCCACGATCGGGCACTAGATTTTGTAGTATTAAAGAAGTATACCTAATTTCATTTTGATCGATGCAGCGGTTCTCGAGATATTGTGATCATCGATTTTAAAAATGCGGATTTGAGAAAAATGCGTTTGAAGTTTGCCAAGTGATTTTGAAACGTGTTTCCTAAAACATATCTTAGGATCTCCCAAAAACCCCTAGCAGCTAGAATCAAATCCCCTACATTTTCCCACTAATTCGAACTATTTTCCCAATAGTTCGGACTATATAAAATGAAAAAAAAATGTTATTTCACGTAAAATACCTGCTTCAAACGTTCAAACCAGTATACCTTTAAACTCACATAACTTCAATAATTTTTATCGACTTGAAATTTATAGGGAATATTTTTAAAAGTATGTACTTTAAGAAAATATCAAAATCCAAAAATCGATTTTTTTTTTAAGTTTACAAGTAGGCATAACACCTTAAATAAGCGGTTAATTTCAGAAAAAGCTAATATATTGTTGCGCCCGAATCAC